TTCCAACGCTGTCCTCGTGACAGTACGGTCCCCTTCACCTGATGAAGGCCACTTGTGTTTTGGCCGAAACGTCGTGATTTTTTTGTGACTTTACCGAAAGAACCAAGAATATCAATCCCTGCAGTCACGAAAGCTTTAAATAAAAATTTGTGGTATTACTGTCTTTAAATAATTTAAACAAAACATGATTTATAGGTGCTTATGACAGCATGTCTGTAGTGACTTGAATTAAATGGAAGCCACGAATGAGTACATTTATGTATAGACATTAATTTAAATATATCGTTAAAATACCTTAAACATGAGTTTTAAGATGTGCATATTCCAAAAATCGTCATTTCCTGCTGAAGGGCATTCTGGTCCTCTTTTCAAGATCAAATTAAATGAGCAAATGTCGCCAACTGACAGTGTCAGTGATGTCATATACTCCTGGAAGGTTTTATCCTAATTAGGACTCATTACCATAGTAGTCACCAATGCTCACTCTTACAGTCTGCTCCGGGAACCGCACCTCCGAATAGCACGGTTGGCTATGTACGGTGCGAAAGAAATTTTGATTTAAAGCTTTCGTGACTGCAGTAATTCATATTCTTAGTTTTTTCGGTAAAGTCACGTTGAAGAGAAACAACAAAATAACAAAATATATATAAAACAATAAAAAATTCTCACGACGTTTCGACCATAACTCAAACGGTCATCATCAGGTGTGTCGGTTTGCATAAATTATTTTGAAAACGGCATATTTATTTATATATATAAAAAATAACGTTTGCGTCACGCGCAACGATTGGCAGTTTGCCCAGGACTAGTCCATCTATTTTTTTAAAAGAGGAGGGGGGAGACGAAATTTGTTTTTATGTATGCTGTCTGAAAGCCACTGTAAGCGTGAACAATCAATCAAGAACTGAAATGATTTATCAAATCTTTCCAATGATTGCTAAGATAGATTCTATCTTATTGTTCACGCTTACAGTGGCTTTCAGACAGCATACATAAAAACAAATTTCGTCTCCCCCCTCCTCTTTTCAAAAAATAGATGGACTAGTCCTGGGCAAACTGCCAATCGTTGCGCGTGACGCAAACGTTATTTTTTATATATATATCTATATATAAATAAATAAATATGTCGTTTTCAAAATAAATTTATGCAAACCGACACACCTGATGATGACCGTTTGAGTTATGGTCGAAACGTCGTGATAATTTTTTATTTTTTTATATATATTTTGTTATTTTGTTGTTTCTCTTCAACGTGACTTTACCGAAAAAACTAAGGGTGCGAAAGAAGTTAAATGTACATATGTGCAGTGGCCACATCAGCACCATGGGGGCTCATGCTAACAAAAATGAAATCTGTAAATGACGTGAACGTATAATAATAGTGCAGGCTAATCCAAAGTAATCTATCACCGCATAATTACTGCTGTCAGTTGGTCACATTTGCTTAAATTTAGTTTGACGGTTATCAAAGCCGAGCCCTGGCCACAATGCACTTCAAGAAATGCGGATGGTTATGTGCATACGCACACATTGCTGGGCTTTTTACACGTGTTCTGTTTGAAAGTTATGGGTTTTCAGCCTGCATTGGTATTCTATCTTGTCATTTACAGATTTGATATCTTGAACAATATGCAATATCCTGTGAGAACGCTTGTCTGCTTATGTTTATTCTAAAGCTGCAGATTAATTGTCATGTGTGGGGGCCGACGTCCAACCCACTGCCCTCGCTGGGCAGGTGGGGCACGACGTCCGCCCCCTCCACTCCCTCTTCCACCGCATCTATCATCTCCGTCCGGGCCCCCGCCGATCGAGTGATCGGCCGTCCCGCGTGAGCGCCCTCTCAGAGAGACGTACCTAAACTACTGCCTTACCGCCGTACAGAGTTAGCCCTCACCCGTGCGCACTGCAGCCAATGCTAACGCAAAGCTGCGGACGCACCTGCGGGCGATTATCCCCCAGCACGAACGCACATGCTGCGGTTCTGCGCTCGCTCTCCCGTGCACACCGTCTCCCCTCGCAGTCGCACCACACGCAAATCGCAGACACCACGCCGATGTTCTGAACTAGCGTTTATTTGCGGCGCAAATACCCACTACCTGGGGGAATATTTCGTGAGAAGAGCCTAGCCAAACTCTGCCTAGGTACCCAGTTGCTCACACGTCCTGCCACGAACCTCGAAGCTGCACTCGCTGGCGTCACACATGCTGCGAGCGGCTTGAGAGAGCAGGGAGCGGGTCTTGGCCAAGACGTTGAGGAGGTCGAAAGAAAGAGCAAAAATCGTTCCGGGCTACTCTTTTATTCCCTTAACTTCAAAGGCCCAGGGTGGCATCGTACCGCAAAGCCAATCGTGCGCTTTCCTGCGCCATCGCTCCTCTGGACCCTCTCTTCCATGGCCTAATCTCCTCACTTCAAAGGGCCGGGATGGCGTTTGTACTGCGCAATAAATCGTGCGCCTACCTGTGGTTACCGCCCCCCCGTTACCGTGTCCTCCGTCGAGTGCCACGGTGGCGGGGCCGGCCATCCATTGTCCCTCGAGTGCCGCGGTGGCGGCGCCGGCCACCCATTGTCCCTCGTTGCTCTGTCTGGAAGGGCGCCCGGCTGGCGAACACACACCCTGCGAGTGTGTATTCGGTATGGGGGCCGAGATGGGGGGGCGGCAGTGACGCTCTTCTTCCTTAATAGTCCACCCTAAGTCCTCCCCCCAATGTCGTGAATAACTTATTGTGTTAAATTTCGATTTAAAGCTTTCGTGACTGCAAGGATTCATCTTCTTGGTTCTTTCGGTAAAGTCACGTAGAATGAGAATAAAACAATATAAGACAATAAAATTCTCACGACGTTTCGGCAACACCACAAGTAGCCTTCTTCAGGTGAAGGAACAACTATCGGGACAAAACGTGAGAATTTTATTGTCTTATTTTGTTTTATTGTTTTATTCTCATTCTACGTGACTTTACTGAAAGAACCAAGAAGATAACTTATTGTGGTTACCCAGTGAACCTTTTCTTTCTGTGCCCATACAATTTTAAGCCAATTTAGGGGCAATGCAATGTGACTTGTCCTGCGAGGGTCGGCCAATTTCCTGGCACCGGGAAACCTTGGGACTTTCCTCCTCGGGACCCTTCGGATGAAAACCCATTGCGCCAGGCGATCCCCCGCCAGGACACTACATATATCCGCTGCGGATGTGTGTTCAGGGTGGGGACCAGGGGGGAGTCGCGGCGCTTGCGGAGTTGCTTCGCGGCCGTGGCACCACACATGCATTGCTTCATTTAAATAAAAACTGCAGAACGTAATTGTCGTCATTGGATTCTTGAATCTACTTTGTCGTCTTCGTTCCACTGACCACCTTAAGTTGATATCTGCATACAATTTGAACAAATAAAATATTACGCCCTTTTAGATGTATGGGAATGTTGAATCGCTTTAAGAATAGCTTGTCTACATTACAGCGTATTGTACAATAGTAAAGATGTAGCGCTTCTGTGCATTGTTATACAATAATGCCATTGATTTCACCAACTCAATTTCCCATTGTGGTGAATGTAGCACCTCAGATTTACGTGAATTACGTATGTAGTGTGCGGAAAAAAAGGTACAAGCAGGTAGCGACAGAGTCGGAATCAATATCACGAAGGAATGCCCTCCCACGTTCTTTTTCCCCAAGCTTCTTTTGGCATAATCTTGCAAAATTAAAGAAACATCAACTATATCTTAGCTCTTTCGGTAAAGTCACGTTAAAGAGAAACAATAAAATAATAAAATATATATAAAACAATAAAAATTCTCAAGACGTTTCGACCATAACACAAACGGTCATCATCAGGTGTGAAAAACCAACGGCAAGAAACATTTGAAAGAAGTGTCGGTTTGCATTTATTTTTAAACGGTGTTTATTTATAAAAAAAAAACGTTGGCGCCACGCGCAGCGATTTGGCAGTTTATTTAGAAGGACGACTCCAGCTATGTTCTGAAAAGAGGAGGGGGGAGACGAAAAATTAATGTATGCTGTCTGAAAGCCACCGTAAGCGTGAACAATCAATTAAGACCCGAAATGGCTTATCAAATCCTTCCAATGATTGCTAAGCCAGAATCCATCTTCTCGGTTGAAATTGTCTCTGTGCTTGTATATGTGGATAGCCTCATGAACGAATCTCTCATGGTAGCCAGATGACTTACAAAGAACCTCTGTCTTGGAGAAGTCAATGTCATGTGAGCCTCCTAAATTATAACAATGATCTGCCACGGCCGAGGTGTTGGTCCTACTGTATTTAAGGTCTGCTTTGTGTTCACGAATGCGGTCCAAGACATGGCGTTTGGTTTCTCCAATGTAACTACTACCACAGAGACAACTTAGTTTGTAGACACCAGGGTACTGTAAATAAATAAATATACCGTTTAAAAATAAATGCAAATCGACACTTCTTTCAAATGTTTCTTGCCGTTGGTTTTTCACACCTGATGATGACCGTTTGTGTTATGGTCGAAACGTCGTGAGACTTTTTATTGTTTTTTATACTTTATTATTTTATTGTTTCCCTTTAACGTGACTTTACCGAAAGAGCTAAGAATATGAATTACTGCAGTCACGAAAGCTTTAAATCGAAACATCAACTTTTAAATTTTGATTTAAAGCTTTCGTGACTGCAGTAATTCATATTCTTAGTTCTTTCGGTAAAGTCACATTGAAGGGAAACAACAAAATAATAAAATATATATATAAAACAATAAAAAATTCTCACGACGTTTCGACCATAACAACGTGACTTTACCGAAAGAACTAAGAATATCAACTTTTAACTTTAACACGTTTAATGGTGCCGTTTTGTTGCTTGCCTTTCGGCGGTTGAACCTCTGTGTTGGGCAAAGTGTGATCTCACGACGAAAAAAACCCAACACAATAACAGTACCGTTAATCCATAATATAGGGCTCGTAGCGCATCGCGCTAACCGCTACGCCACCGCTCCCCCTAGCACCACCCACGTGTCTCAGAGAAAGTGAAAAAAACACGTGGGGCGGGGCCGGAAGGCTTCCGGAAGTGACGCAATCGAGTACACGCCCACCGCGCGGTGTCCCGTCACTCCAGCCTCGAGCCCGCACGCGCGCGGTAAGATTAACTCACCCCCCCACCCTCCTTCAAACTATATAACAGAAAATACATAATCTCACATTTTAAAGACACGTTAAATACATACAGAGTTAAATACATACTGTCGTTGCGCTGTTTTTAGTTGTTCAACTGGCGCGCGTCCTACCTCACGCGGCCCATCGCAATGTTGTGTTATTGAACCCTTCCATTGGGCCGCGGCGAGGCTCGCTCCCTTGCGCGGACCAATGGGAAGCGGCGTTACTGGCGCGTTGCGGAATGTTGTGGAAGGTTGGCCTCGGTCCGTTTAATAACGACTCGTTGGTGTTAATGCCCCTTCCCCACAGTTAAAAAATATGCGTACGTTATTATTTTAAAAGACATTTCTCACTATTCCGTGGGGTTTTGATACGATTAGTGCTGTGCCATGGTGCAGTGTTTGGTGAGGCGACTTATCGCGGATGGTTAGGGTTCGACCACAAAGCTACACGGGGCTCGTAGAGTAAGACTCGAGCAACGCTACGGCGGAAAATTTATATTTTTTAGATTTAAAGCTTTCGTGACTGCTAGGATCCATACTCTTTGGTTCTATTGTCTGGAGGACAGCGCTGTCCTCCAGACAGTCTCGTCCCTTCACCTGATGAAGGCCGCTTGTGTTGTGGCCGAAACGTCGTGATTTTTTGTTATTTTTATTTTCACCTACGTGACTTTACCCAATAGAACCAAAGAGTATATTTTTTTTATTTAGACTGGAGGGGGGGGATCCGATGAGGCATGATGAAGCTGTCTTTCACTCATGTCCAGTATGGACGGGTCAGCAGGTTACAACAGCTAAGAATAGAAGAACTACGATACGAGCGCACAATTGAGAAAATGGTAAGCAAATCACTTAATATAATTAAGTTATGAGATAATCCCGATTTATCAAGATTGGGCAAGGCAGTAAAAACAGCAGCAAAACCGTCCCCAGACCACACCAAGGTAACACACAGTACCTCAATAAAACGGCACATTAAAATGTTACTATCCATACACAGGTAATTATCAACGTTAGAAATCATTTGCAAATGTGACTCGCATTGACCGTCATGTAGCAGAGAAGCCATCTCTTTACCATGCATTCGTGTGATGTTATTCAGTGGTTTAATGAGAAGTACATGTCCAGCCCTTTTTGTAAAGCCACTGTTGGCGGATGAGGGCCTCTCCGCTCCGTATCGGTCACTTGGTTTGACTTGCCACGTTGGTCAGTCCGCATTTTTTGTTTGTATTCAAAATTTCACCAGGATAATACCTTGAGATGGTTCGAATTTGCAAGAGTGTCCAGGGTGTCAATTTTACAGCCATTAGCACGGTTGGCTACGTACGGTGCTAAATAAGTTCAACATACGCCATGACACAAACATTTAAAATCCATGGATTGCATGCGTTTATGCAATGAACATTGTACCCAGTCAGATACATACAAAACGCATTATCTTGTTCACATCGCATACTCGCTGCTCACCACGTGGCCCCGAAAAAATGCAGCCTACGCTGATTTCAGGAGTTAATGCGAGTCATTTAAACGAGATAACAGCGCCTGAGGACATCTGTATTACCAGGGAATCCTCGTCAAGAATGGCAAGGCACGTTAAAGGGTGAACTATTTGTATAATATAACCTCGGTTACGTTTGTAAAACGCTACCCAGTAGTCAATGTGCTTATGCAAAACAGCATTTCGTGCAGAAGTGTGTTGTCTTCCTCTTTTGCATTATCAAAATAAATTTGGCGAATGTGACTAATTGACAGCAGCAGTGATGCAGTTGACAACTTTGGGCCATTTTCGTCCGAATCAGGATTCATTGAAGTTTGGTCCCAATATGTTTTCTGGCAGGGAAATCGGCCATATTATTGACGTGGGTTGATTGTCGTATTTACTTGCATTGTATCCGCTGGTATTGTAATGAAAGAGCTGAATTGACATTGTTTATAATTTACCTTATGAGACCTTTGCCAGTAACAAGATATAGTAATAGGTTTTTTACCCTTTTAGCGGGCACAAAAACCTATTACTATATCTTCTTACTGGCAAAGGAGGTCTCATAATGTAAAGGCTTACCCCGAGCTCTCAATACTCTGATAGTGCGCTGTTTTTGAGTTGTACGCCTTATGGCGTCATCTGGTCCAACACCAGTGGAGACTAGGCTATAAGAAAAGCCGTCTCGGGTGTGGACCAATCAAATTCAAGGACAGTGCATATTATTATCAGAGTTGTCTTTTTTGTTTGCATTTTTGACTGCTTGTGTTGTGGTTATTGCAAACATGATCCCTTGTATAAAGGTGTCAGTTTTTGTGCCAGCTAAAAGGGTTAAAAAAAACCTATTACTCTTGTTTATAATGTTCATGATTTATAATGATTCATAATAAACTTAGTATAAATATAATTTATTTAATAGGTGTACTACATTTGTATATTTGAGCATTCCATTTAATTCGTTAAGTGCATAATTGTAATTTACTTGTTGGTTATAGTCGTTCGTAATGTAATATTTATAGAGTACTGAATCTCCATTTCAGAGACCACAACGTGTCTCAGTGGGCACTCATTTAATGTAATACGCTGAAGTGAAATGTCACCATGGGGACATCATTTAATTTACTACAACATGTGTATGCCAGCAAATACCTGCTGGGAACGTTGTGTACAACCCATCTAATTACGTGGAATACTTGCTATATTTCTGTGTTACAAATGAGGAATGTATTGGGGTTTGGTCAGTGGTAAACGTGATAAGACACAAAAGCTCCATTGTCCAGAATGTTCGTTTTTGTCACGAGTCTGGGGATTAAGATGATCATGTAATTATGTATATGATTGTGAGTGGCTATCTGTGCAGATACAATAACCACTATCAAAAGCGCTTTACCAATTGTATCAATGTGAAACAAGCATGGGTTACTGAAAATAAATATGATGTACACCATGTTCTAAATATGGGTATCTGGTTTTTCCAGGATATGCCTCGAATGTAAATTGACATAACTCAATGTAAGCAGACACGTATGAATCGACACGTGATGACGTGTATGTAATGCATTGCTGGTGGATTGACATTGTAGCCACAGCCTCACATTTACATTTTGCATCCGATGTGTACAAGGTGTGGTAGAGCAGCATGCGCACAGGTATGTGTTAACCATGGCTAAGTGGCTGGACTAGGTTTGTGTTAAGTTTTTCGCTAAAAACATTACATGGCTCCTGCAAAACGAAGACTTAACGTGGCATCTTCAGGAAGCAGAAGAAATGTCACATACAGGCGGGAAACCATTTCCCGAGGGCAAATTTGGCGAACGGACATGAGGTAGATTGCGTCTGAGAGATGGACAATTCTGAAATTTTCTTCCAATTGAGACGGGAGAGGAGTGGAGAGGGGAGGACAGAGATATGTCATGAATGAGAAAGATAGGGAAAGAGGAAGTAAGAAGGAGGGGGGGGGTGCAAGAGAGAGAAACATTTTGGGGTTTGGGGGGGTTCAGTGAATGACCATGGGATCGAGGGCTTTCTCCTAGTCGAGTATAGTTCCTTATATCTTCAAGAATATAAAGTTTATTTGCCACATCAAGGCAGAGCCCCTTTGAAGACTAGGTGTGGGGTACTATATATGATTTGTATTTTTAAAAATCCCATTTGCTGTTGTTGCACTCATAAATACCTACATTTATTGGCTTGGTGACATTGGTAATTTAATGTTAGCTTGTAGGCAAATATTATTTAACTTGGGCATCGTCAACATCGAGACTAATCTCACGACAGTTGTATACGTTGCATTTATCTAGCCAAGGCCTTTACATTTACGTTTTTCTAAGTTCCAGTAAAGTCTCTTACCGTGATACTAGGGCATGCAGCTCATTACATACATGCCCTACTGATGATGAGTCATAAAAACAGTTTGAGCTTCGGACTTAGTGGTACCTCCAGCTGCCTGTTTAGGTATCCCGCAATGTGCGGCTGCTCTATAAGAGGTTTAGTAATTAACCGATTTAAAATGTTTCCATTGGCTGACCTAGCATGCAGAGGAGTGCCAGGGAAAGTGAATCACACGCTCTGCTGGTTATTTTATTATTACACTTGCTAACCCATGAAAGTTATTGAACTGGAAGAGAGCAATGCTGCATGATGGCTGATGTCATAGTTTGTCTGATGGTGCATGCATCAGTCCATTAGAGGGCAAGCTTTTATCATCAAGTGGGATATCCATCAGGCATGCCCTCAGAAAGATATTCATCACACATGCCCTCAGAAATTGAGTTTGATTTGCTCCTCAACTTAACACATTAGACCCCTGATTTTTTTATTTAATTGACTGGCAGTGAATGATAGTGTTCCTCTAAAAGTTATATGTGTTTATAAGTCTCTCTTGGTTTTTATGTTAGGAGGGGGAGGCTCAACGCTGTAGGATGTGGGTAACATGTCAATCTCAGAGATGTCCTCGGTGACATCAGCTGCATGGCAGCCATAATTTTTGTTTCGAATATAGTATGACACTATCTTTGTATATGGAGAGGGTACTACCCAACTCCCATTGTATTGACTTTTACAGGGAGTAAGGACGTGAGGGCCACTTTGGCCACCATGAAATGTACATTCTTACCACCAATGTTCGACCTATTAATGTGTTTTTGTTTGTGTGTTGGTCTCTGCTGACAGTGTTGCTGGTTTCTGCACATTCAAACCATTGTTACCTAGCAATGGCCACACCCAGTGCACCTCCACCCGAATATTACGGCAACAACCAGCCGGGATACCCTCCTCCGTATCAGCCGGGCGCGTACTCCAACCCTGGCGTGCAGCCTGGAAACTTTCAGCCACCAGCAGGCCAGCCATGGGTGTACCCGGTCCCACAGCCCGGGGGATATCCCTCCCCCCAGCCGGGGGGATACCCACCACCACAGCCTGGGGGATACCATCAATCGCAGCCTGAAGGGTTGTCGTCCCCCCAGGGGGGAGGTTATCCACCACCCCAGCAGGGGGTCTACCCTGGGTTCTTCCTGCCATCGCCACAGCAGCAGGGAGGGTATCCTGGACAGCCGCAGCCACCGTTCGTACCCCCCACCATACCACTGCACCCGTCCTTTGGAGGCATGCAGAGTCCTGGTGAGTGTAGAACCCCTGCTGGTTGAACCAGCCAAACTGTCATTTTCTTACATTGCTTGTATTTGTAAATAAGTGGAAAAAATGTGCGACGTGTTTTTATGACATGCTTTATCACTTTTAAGTTGGTATAGTGTATATATGTTATAATATTGGCATAAGTGCCCATGCTATAATGTACTTTAAAGATGATTATTATTTATTTTATTGTGGCTTGTAGTGGATTGTGAGAGAAATGTAAGTTAGTCCTCAATGAGTCCTCGCTTAATATCAAATTATATCTACTATTCTCTGTTATATGTCTACCTTACCCCAATCCTACATCCCTTATTCAAAAACACCCCATTAGGGTATGGTGGGGTTACCATTGAGGGTGAGGAGGATGGGGATATGGGCACCTGGGATGATCGTAATGTGCGCCGTGTGTTCGTCCGTAAGGTATGTATGTTTGCATGTGTACACTTGTATAACGCAACGCACTTCCCACAAATGTGTCGCTAAGTGCTCGATTGTGTTCATGCTGGCAGGATTTATGTTTACATTTTTGTATTGTGCTTCTGTCGTAAAAAACACATTTGTGTGTGTGTGTGTGCAGGTGTACACCATCCTGATGCTACAGCTGCTGGTCACTTTTGGCATCGTGGCTGTGTTCACTTTCAAGTGAGCCTTGCATAGCAATCACCTGTATCTCTGCCCTGGTGGCAGTTGGTGCTTCCTTTGTTCGACAAGTTTTGTCTTAAGCAGCTGCTGACAATTGCTTGCCCCCATTAGGTCTAGACTGATGCATCGTTTCCCAAGTGATGAGTATATGCTTTCTTTTAACATAGTGTCTTTTTGTTAAAATAACTAATTCATATGCCACATTTGTCCACGTGACAACTTGATGTGTTTGGCTATGTTAGTTGGTCGAGTTAGAGCTCTTGATTTACATTATATTCACACGATCTAACCAACATTCACTCTTATGGTTATATAAATAAATATTAAAATATGTTCTTGTATCTTGTTTATATGCTTAAAATGTCACTTAAATACTCTTTGATCTCATATTTGTGGTTTATATATTGGTTACAACATTAATGTTACTCGTAAAGTAAATTTCATAGCAAAACATTGCATTTACAGTTTTATAAAAATTAACAGTAAAGTGGGGTCAAACAACCCCCAGGACTGGTACAGAGTGTGGGGTGACGTTCCAGCAGTGGCTTGACAAAAGCATTGAACATTATGAAATTATAAAACTAATTTCATGCCTTGTTAATACATATCAAATAATGTTGAGGAACACATGTTGCAACTACTATAATGTACCTGCAATTAACATACAAATTATGTAAACAAATGTATTTAGTTGAAATGACTGCTCATCAGAGTAGACAATATCACACACATTCCAGTTGACATTAAACCAATTGCAAACAAAGTACACTTTGCGTTGTTGTGTGATAAAAATAATATATTTACATTGTTTGAGACATTAACGTGATAGAATCTACTGTGTTTTTCTCCAGTGAATCGGTGGAGAGGTTTGTGAGACGGACACCAGCCATTTACTGGACCTCATAGTAAGTTTCTATTTTCAGTGAGCCAAGGACATACACAGACATTTTATATACAGATGTTTTAATATGTTATTATGTTTAAGTGTGAGAGTGAACACTGATGCTATGATAATTTAGCTGAGAAACAGTGTAAATATTCAGAGGATACTTTTAATAATCATAATTCTTGTGTCTGCAATTTACCATCATCTATTGTTTCATGCATTTCCTATATTTAATCAGATGAAATTTAGGTCTGGCGAGACATGATAAATTCCCTCTTTTAGCAAAGGAGACCTGGATTACGTCAAGTGATGTCGAATATAACTATATAAAATTATAAGAACAAATGTAGACTATATTTAATATATGACTACAAATTTGAATATAGCTAGGTAAGAAAGGTTAATAAAGTGTGAGATAAGTTGTCGTGACTAAGTCGGTGAGATAATCTTTTGTCATTGCCTCATGTCACTAGCACTTACTATCAAGCAGTCTGGGAGGTGAATTTATGTTCGCGCGATCAGTGTGTGTCAATGACTGTTCCCCGTGTCTTCTCCCTAGTGGCGTGTTCTTCGTCACGTACCTGGTGCTCATTTGCTGTACCAAGGCAAGGTTAGAATTTAGATTTTGCACATTCTGCAATATTAACACCTGGGAGCGTTTCATAATTTGAACGTGTAAAAATATGCTGGATGCTGCTAGATTCTGGGTTTAAAATATAGGCAGCCACCAGTGGTTAAACTGGGTTCTCAAGTGTAGGCTCAGCATCGTCACCAATGACAGCACAAAAATGCCATATAAAGTGTTTTGTACTTAATTTTGTGAAATCGCAGCTCTTGAGAAAAATTATTTGGTTATTCTGGCTGTGAGAACAATATGAGATTGACTGTCAAGCGACAAGTAACCTCAGGTTGTATGGAAAAGTGTAACCCCTTCTGATATGGCCAATTAAAGGAATTTTTGGCAAAGTCTTGTAAACGTTTTCCACACATGTACTCTGACGCACACGGTGTTCTGCTCTGCATGCCTTCTGAATATAGTCTTGGTCTCATTACATAATTCTACAAGCACAGTTAGAATAAAGTATGGAGAAAATATACAAAAACTATATTTGTAAAATATATGATATTTTATATTTTGACAGGAGAATGTTTCCGCTCAACTACATCTTGCTGTCTGTGTTTGTAAGTACTTTGGTTTTATTATTTTAATTCATGATATTCGGGATACTTTGAGATTATTTATCAAGACAGTTAATGAATTAATTAAGTGTATTATTTTAATGAAACATCTGTTATATCAAACGCCAGGTTATGAAAAATGGTTGCAAAAAATGTCACAGTTCAATTTTATCAAACATTCAAAATGTCAAATTAATACCTATACGATATGATCTAGTTAATTTATAAGCCAAGGTTACAAATTTTGTGTGAAAATATTGTTTGTTATACAAATTGGCCTGAATGTATTGTGTATATTTACTAAGTATTGGAAAAAGTGTTTACATAAGGTTAATAGTTGACTTTGCATTTGTTTATATGCTGCTCTATTCATTTGAAATAAAATAAAATTTGGTTTATAAATCTTGATTTGAAGCTTTCGTGACTGCAGGAATCCATACTCTTTGTTCTTTCGGTAAAGTCACGTAGGTAGATATAAAATAAAATAAAAAATCACGACGTTTCGATCGCAACACAATCAATCTTCATGGTTTATAAAGATGATACTTTTTACTAATTAAATTGTAATATCACCTCCTACTTAGTAGGACCCTCCTGAAAAATAATTTTGGGGCTCAGTGAGGCTTTCCTAGGTAAACAAGCATAATAATCAAATTTGTGTATTGAAAATGTATTACATATGCTGTTTATGTCTGCTGAATAGCACACGGTGATGACTGGAAGCTTATTCAGATGACCACAGTGGGCCCTGAAAGACCAAGGCTTATGTTGAACGCATTAAAGAGTCCTGTATCAATGTACCTCCCCCACCCCTTGACAGACGCTGGCCATGGCTTACATGACGGGGATGCTAGCCAGGTGCTCAGAATCTGAACACTCATGCATACCCCCAATTAAATTGCATTGCTGTATACTCACACTCTTTCAGCGTTATTCTTATATTTTAAAAAAATTACTAAATATCAATTATTGTCAACATTGTATGATGTACTACACATGCTTAGCTTTTATCACAAGCCCTATTTTTGAAGACAAAGGTACTAATGTGGTTAATCTGTCATGCTGTTGTGAGCAGTTACTACAGTACCAAGTCGGTTCTCATGTGTCTGGGCATCACGGCAATGGTGTGTGCAGCAGTCACCCTCTTCTGCTTCCAGACCAAGGTACAGTTTGGCCTTTTTAAAAAATTTGTGTTCCCATAAGTTCACAACTGGGATTGAACAGTTGCACGGTGGTTCACACAATGTGCTATGAACCTGGCAACTTGATTTTTATTCCCAATGGTGGCTGTCATCAGTGGAGAGTGATATCTGAACCAGTCCCGAGGTGCCCCCTTTACCAACCCGCACTGACCAACGTGGTGAAATATAGTCAAACAACACCCATGACATGACATGGGGAGGCCTGCATCCAGCATTGCCTTGGCAAAGGGCTGAAAATTAAGTCCACAGCATTAATTTCTGAGATTATTTTAATTCTAGACATCTCCAAGTTGTAGGTTAAGATTGACATACAGTTTATTAGATGTTGATACGCATCTTAAATCTTGTCATTGCTCGCAGAACATCGGTTTGAGATTGTGCGTGTATGCATGTGTTTCCACAGTTTGACTTCACATCATGCCACGGCCTCATGTTCGTATTGTCCATGGCTCTCCTCCTCACTGGGCTGGTGGCTGTCTTCACTGTGCCATTTGGATACGTGAGTCCAACACATAGCATGCATTCTATACCAAAGGGACTGACTGATGTGGCCAATATTGTCCTCTTACACATCTACACATAGTTTAGTTTTGAGAACAATGTCAAACAAGAAGTTATCTCTAATGGTAGGGTTGTCATTCCATTTCAAGGTTAGCCTGTCTTGGTGTCATTCACATAATAAAAATGCTGTTTTCATAACAAATATTGACATTCTTCCTGACTCATACAATAGTTGATATCAAATATCACTTGCTTTTATTATAAATAACATTTTAAAGTGTAGCAAAACTATGCAGGTAATTACATACTCTTTGGTTCTTTCGGTAAAGTCACGTAGGTAGAAAAATAAAATTAATATATCACGACGTTTCGATCGCAACACAAGCAGTCGTCCTCAGGTGGAAAAAAATATAATCCAGCAGTGGAACTGCTAAACTAGCGAGAGAGCTGTTGCAAGAGGTTATTTATCTGGCGTTGGGCAAGCAAGCGGGATCCCCGGACGCAAGCACGTCAGTTGTGTTAATGGGGGAGATTAGGGAGAGAGACTAGCATGAAATGAGCTTCCGTCACTGCATAAGAGTATCATCCCCGCATATGCGTACAACAGCAGTGTTAATGGGAGATTAGCACTATGTTGATGGGAGAGATTAGGCAGGGAGATTAGGGGGATTAGTAAGTTAATTGCATGTCTATGTGTAACACAAGCTGCGGCGCTGCCACCTGCGCTGTGAGAGGCAAGCGCGTCCACGCAAGAGAACCACCGCAACAGTGGTCTAGCCAGTGAGACACACAGCCCATCACACAGCCAGAACCATCGATACATCGAGGCTAAGGGAGCAGAAGTGGCCATGTTAGTGAGACCCCAGCCCGTTAATGCAGAGGCACCTAACAGGGCAATGCAACTCAGAGAGTCGATGCGATATGCTATTGTTGTTGAACTGTATGTCTATGCTTCCAGATCTATATTCACCACGTTTATGAACCCACACTGAAGTGTGATGAGTTTCAGTTTCTTTATTTTGGTATATCCCTGTGAGCCATTCGGCTCTTGAATCGGGTGCAACCACAACAAACAAATGTGGTCACATAGTCTTCATGACCCACACAGGAATGGGGAGACTGTTATCCAGCATCTGATTGACAAATAAGGGATGTAAGATTTTGTAGCTATAGGTTACCTTTCAAAATGTTTTGGCTTGTGAAGCATGTCGTAAATGCTGAATGTGTTATATAATATCGTAAGCCAGGAGTTGTTGTAAGGGATGAGCCACGTGTTTCCGCAGATCCCCTGGATACAGACGGTATATGCAGGCCTGGGCGCTGTGGTTTTCACTTTGGTGAGCTTTTGATCCTCATGGCCTACCATATCCCTAGAGGCAGAAAATCAAATATTATGTTTATAATCTGTTCCAGCTTAGCCAAATATGCAAAGACCTATTTTCTCAAAATACTTTGTCTAACTTGATATGCAAAATTACTAATCTGCAGATTTTGCATGGTGATTTCATTGAGAATATGCACATTAGATATATATCCAGAGATGGAGAGGTTCTCAAAAAAGTATTCGGTCATCAATTATATTACGTTGCATTGCTTTTATTTTTTGTATTGATCTTGGTTGTTGTGCCGCATGAAAACTAAAATTTCATGAGAGCCACCCACACGTACAAGTGTTGGGGAATAGAATGTGATAATATACGTGCATACCTTTGGGCTGGAGTAGAACGTTGCGTAACTTTATGGCATATTTACACCTGCCACATGTGCCATTTCATGCAAGCCATTATTGTTAAAGGTTACCGATTACAAGTAACAAGCTATGGCACACATTCATCAATAATTCTTTACTCCTAACTTTTTTTTTGCATTAAGTTCTTAATGGAATTCACATCAAATGTTCTTGCTGGTCACCTCTTCCTTACTTTTCTTCCACACGCCTTTGCAGTTCCTGGCCTTCGACACACAGCTGTTGCTGGGCAACCGGCGACACTCGATCAGCCCCGAGGAGCATGTTTATGGCGCGCTCAGCCTCTACATGGACATTGTGTACATCTTCACTTTCATGCTGCAGCTCTTCGGTACCCGCGATTGACTGCCGTCTTAACTCCTCCACTTGCCATGCCCTGCCACCTGCGTACAAGGTGCATGCCTGCTGGTCAGTCCGTCAGTTGATCAGGTGTTGTCATGTGCAAGCATAAGTAGCAATTGCCGGTACTTACTTCCCCTCATTCACCCACTCCAGTTGTTCCTGGCCAATACTTTCGACCACCAGAGGGGAGCTTGTGTATAAAATTGTCTTCATTCGGGTGTGGTAGTAAAATGTATGTTAGTATATGGCATTGTCCGATGGGAGTTGTGGTGAGCCACATGTATAGTTTGCAGGATGTAGTGCTAATGTTTAAGTCTCGGTATTTATACTCTAGAGATATTATTGTTCAGAGATTTATGCAATGCTTGTCATTCATGCAACTGGAATAAGCAAGTATATATATCTCCAACATACCAGCATTGTGATTACAGCATTTGTAAAACATGCAGTGTGTTATTCGATGTTTAAAATTTCAAAAAATGCTACTAGTAGTAGCTTAAGACATGAATTGGTTCTGTAGGCTTTGTATTTTATGCAGTTGTCCACTTGGTTACATTTAATTTATGACTTTATTTGTTTGACTTACTGAAGAACGTATATGTCGAGAGGGTAGTAGTGCCATTGATTAAGTTTACTTAAAATGCATACATACACATGCAAACTGAAGTATACCCTTGAGCTTGAAGTGTGCTCACAAAATAAATAAAAAACAAATCTTAGCCTGATCAAACATTTTGGTTGCTTGGAACAAATTCTAAAATCTTTCCGATCACTGATGTTGCTCCTGTGGTGTATTTTAATTTAGAGAAATATGCTCATTCGCCCCATATCGAAGACCACTGAAATGAAGGAGGTGACGTTTGATTTAGTTCGTGATATTCATTTAGCATCCGTGACCTCGGACAACCCTGTCAGATCCATACCCTGTCACTTTTTCCTAGTCAAATATAATTTTGGCATGGACTTCTGCAAATAAGCAGCTGTGCAGTGTAATAATGAATCTTATGTATATTGGGGTTTTCTGCTCATCCATAGTCCAAGTGCTTTTTTTGGAGGTTTTAATTTACGAATGAGCACAACGGTTTAACTAGTATGTGCTGGTGGTGGGTGTATGTTAACAAGATGCTGGGGTGGGACAATCTGTTTTGCAGCCAGATTAAATACACACTGCTAACTTTACTGCCCAAACCTTATACATTTGTCATGATCATGAAAACATTAGTTTTGGCTCACTGTGAATGTGCACACACCTTTATTAAAAACTGTACGTATTAAGTTTTACTGGCATGTAATTAACGGCAATTGCTTTCTTGATGCCTGACCACCTATACCTATCTTAAATCCCCTTACCCATTCCTCCCCAGTCCCTAGCATGATGATAAGTCATTTAAACACCCAGAAGAAGCAGTCTAGTCAACCCAAAGGCTTCATTTCTTTTGAGATGGCATTTTGCCATCGCATTTAAGGCAGAGTGTTTCTTGCTTGAATGGCTTCGCAAGTTTAGGTATAGCATGTGTGTGCAGTAGACAACAAAAACTTTTGAACAGACCACTTCATGCTATTCAGCTTGGATCGTCACCCACATGTGCCAGTGTTTGGGGTGCACAACCCGATATTAGACATGCATAACATCCTTACATCGTGATGCACTTTGTCAATTGAGGGTAGATTTACACTTCTGCAGGCACTGCATGCTGATACACTAAAACCAGTCTCAAGACCGAGATAAGCTATGTAAACTGTGCAATGCATTATGAAAGTGTTCCTGGTGTAGATATGGCATAGGTTCAGTGATGAGCAACTCCAGGCCCTTATGAGCCACAGTCCCACTTTTAACATCAATCAACAGGTGGTTGAATATTGACTTAAAGCTTTCGTGATTGCAGGAATATTCATCTGGTCTTTCGGTAAAGTCACGTAGATGTTTCAAAGAAAATAACAAACTACGTTTCGTTCACAACACAAGCGAACGTCATCCTCCTGATGTCGTAGTTTGTTATTTTCTTTGAACCATCTACGTGACTTTACCAAAAAGACCAAATGAATTGGTGGTTGAATGTGAAAATGTGAAGTGATGTGTGGATCAGGAGGCATGGAGTTGCTTTTGCCAATTGAATATAACAGAGCCCTGTTACAGATGTGAAATTTTACTTGAGATTTTTTTCTTGCCGTATAGTATGACTTTAAAGGTAAAGTATTTTTTGTGGTAGAAATTAAATGTAAATGTAGCAGCTGCATTTTTAAATCAGTCACTCGGCTCCAAGAATATCATTCGACAGATCTGCCCAACTGTTATCTGTTGTAGTCGTCACACCATTATACATGTTGTGGGGTCCATATTGAGACTGAATGGTGCAGCTTGCTGCATTTACATTGGCTGTGCTCATATGAAAATAATGAGTCAATGTAAATAGTCACTGTTATTTCAAAACTGATGCTGTGTATTAAACTGTTGGATGACTTAATCACGAATAACTCTTGTCATTTGAGTCCATTATGATTGAGATGTTTTTACTTCCAAAAAATGTGTGTTCACGGTATATATTAAGAAGCTGAAATAAACCCATTAGATGGATTTAGAACCCGTTACAATAATTCAACTAAAGGGTTATTCAAATAAAGAAACACGGTTTGATCAACATCTACATTTTAAAGCCTATATTTTTTACTATTGCTAATTATACTTGACCAGAGCCTCTGAAGTTCAATACATCTAAGTATGAATCATTACACACGACTTGTACCTTGCACTTTACACTTTCTTGAATTTTACACAAAGTTTGGTCCATTTAACCTACAACCAAGTGGACTTTTCAACATTCAATGCATAATTCGTACATACGGTATACAATGTCAACATGACAAGCATGAACTTAATAATCCATTGCAAAAACAGGATGCTGTCACATTGCACTTGTGCTGAGCAAATCTTATATCTAGAGCAGCACTGCTGTCAAGTAAAATAACACAAGTATTTGTACAAAACGCAAATATTGTCATGCAAGTTATGCAGCTTTATGATGAACAATTTTATTGACTTATTTTTAACAATAGCTGTACCTACTTGAACATTTTACATGTAGCTGCATGTGAAACATACGCACTTGTAATACGACAGCTGGCAGTGCTGCAAGCCTGTTGCTTTGCACCGTTTTCTGCTGTAATATTGAAATAGCTTGGAAGAAAATAATTTATGTCCATTGTTAATATAACCTGATCATTGCTTGGTCTGAACCACTGACAAGCTGTCATAGTTATTCATGTTTACAGACGAGTCACATATGTTGAACTTCTTTTGCACCGTACATAGCCAACCATACGAATCATAGATGCGTAAAAACCGGAGTCATGTGAAACTGCTTAAAACTTCTTTTTCGGAACTGTAAAAAGGAACGGCAACATAAATCATCTTCCACTACTGCCGTTAGCATTTCACGGTGTCATCCTTTGGGCATTTGCCATGGTGCATGTGTCTGATAGCCAGGTATTGTGCACAGTTGGCAATTCAGACAATGTAGAATACATTTGTAATTTCTACATGCCCACCATGTTGTTGGTCCCTCTATGTGAAGGTGTTTGATGACATCAAACTTCCCACATGTACAATATGCATAGAGAACCTCCAGCATGCAATCCCAATTAATGTAGAGTGGTTACAGGCAGCAGTGTAGTTTCCCATAGATACACATTAACAAGTGCTCATCAACTCTCTGGACTTTTGTTTTAAACATTAGTAATGGTCAATTTGGAGGAACCTGCCCTCCTCAGCACCTCCCAGAAAGATGACCCATCAATTGGACTTATCTATCTCTAGAGTTTGCAATGGTTACGTCCAGCTGAACCTCTCGTTGATTAAATTGACAGCAGCACCATTCGGGGCTATGGCGCACATGTGCTTGCTCGTACCTGTATCTGCTTCAGCAGATAAGTATCATGCATTGCAGTTCAATTATAAGTGGTAATCACACACATATGCATCGCAAAAAAATAATTACACTGAACTATGGTGAAGTGTCATGCAAGAACTAAAGATCTATTTCACAATATGGTATTGCCTTCGATAACAGTAAGCCAACAGGGTTGACTGTTGTGTTGGTTCAGCGACTCTGCAGGCAGACTTTATAGACAATTCAAATATTGGCCCTATTATTGTTTGGCAGTTTTATGTCAATTCGACACCGATTTATTCATGTTTGGTTATTTTTCTTCCAAAAGCCTGTAGAAAACATAATTAACTAACAACCATTGTTGGTAAACACTTTCATTAGAAATTATTTACAATGCAGTTATACTCGAGTCCAAATACAATGATTACATGGAGACTGTACACAAAAAATACCTTGCCTCCTTGTAATCTGGCAGGTGTTACGCCTGTCAGATGGACTGGCAAATTTAGTTTGGCAAAACAATCTAAATCAGTGGTCAGTTCAAGTCATAGTTACCAACTGTGTGGTCTCCAACAGGTGTATGTGCCAGAAGTTTACTTTCGTATTTTAGTAATAACTTGAATAGGCCGCTTAGTGGCTATAGTTTTCCAAAGAGGCTTTTAGATACGAACGCATTTTACTTGGGGATAATTAATAAAAATTGGTGTATTTTGCTGTGTACTTATAAATTGTCATGTCCAATTGAATAATTTCGAATGGACACTCATTTGTCATAGATGCAATGTACTAGCTGGGACCTAATCAATCGTACTGTTATAAATCCTAGAACACATCGTTGGCAACTTTTGAGACTGCTGCCAAAGCAGCACGCACAGAACATCTGGTTTTCTTTTACACTGCAGTTAAGCACGAACAGAAACCGGATATATATATTTTTTTCAGATGGTTTGTAGAGCCTTCACCTATTCAAGCAATTTTTGGTTTTAATCTATCACACACTGGACCATGCACAACGCACACTCATGCAAGCATTAAATATGTAATGCAGTTGAAAGTGTTTGGAATGAGTTTCAATGATTGTAAACATCCACATGTACACTATATGCTGCAAGACAACTATATGCGCACCATCTTAAGTCAGGTGCAGTATTGCTCTCAGCAAAGTTTTACAACGCATGTATGTTTGCGCATATGTGCACACTCAAAAAAATATGTTCAATATAGCCTTATACTGATGGGGTAATTGCTGTCAGCAAGTACAAACTACAGCCAGCACAGCATAAGGGGTGGTATGGCCAATGGTGATGTTCGTACACTGCACCAAGTACTCACATATAAGGCTAAATCAACCGGGGGGGGGGGGGGGGGAGGCCCAGGGCAGGTTCAGACACCAATTGCCACCAATTTTATCCATGACCAAGGTGTCATGCACCACTAATGCACCACCTCTCCCCACACACACAGGTGGAAGTAGACATCTGCGAGGGAGAGAGCAGGCCTGCAGGTCACATCGTGAGAAAGGGCAGGCAGCCCGTCCCAACGCCGCCCGTGTGCCAGCTCATTTGGGCAGCCTGCCGCCATGTGTTGCTCTCAGGCGTGAAGCACTCAACCGTGCCGAGGTTGGCGTAGCCGTCGTAGCCGCCCAGTGCATAGAGCCGCCCCGAGCAGGCTGCAAGGGCTACGCGGCTGCGGCTGGCCAGCATGGGCGTGAGTGCAGACCACTGGTCAGACGCCGTGTCATAGGTCTCGACCGACGAGAGGAACGCTGAACCCGTGTAGCCGCCCACGGCATACAGGCGGCCCGAGAGGGCAGCCGCCCCATGTCGGCAACGCCTCTGCTGCATGGGCGCCGCTTTGTGCCAGCTGCCAGTGTGTGGGTTGTAGTACTCCACCTGCACGGCGCCACCGCACACACCCACGCAAGTACAACCGTAATGTTTGTGTGGCAGTAGGTAGGATTCCTCATCTGCTCATATGAGAACACATCAACCCCATAGTCATAAATCAATATGCAGGAATCCATAGAAGTGTACATGGATATATAAACAATGTATACACATATATCATAATTTGCGTTGTTTGTTTCACGGCGAAGAATTTAAAGATCCCCTGCTGTAATTCACAAAAGTAGGTCATTGTGTGCTGGCGTCCAGGTTCGAATTTGCCGATTTTGAAAATTACCCATAAATCACTCGATTGACATACCAATCATCGCCCCCTACTGACAGACTAATGCCCAGTGGCAGACTAATGCCCACTGAGTCACCTTGTGCCCACAGGAATAGCTGCCACTGGACGTGCCCTTTTAAATGTTAGAGATGAGATGTGCAGCAATCTGAGACCCCAGAATATAGAGGGCTATTTCAATAAATTATTATGGACTTGCATACATTTTACATACAAACTCATCTATGGATTCATACATATGAATCCACAGACATGGGCCCATATACAGAAACCCACACACATGAACCATTCACACAGGCCTACACACCAACGACATACATGTATATGCAAAACCGTTTCACTCTGAAAAAGTCCTTAATTATCCACTTCTTTTGAGTAAGCCCTCAGCAAATGCAGATGTTAAATTCTGAATTAATGGTTATATAAAAAAAACTAATTAAGACGAACCGAGTGTGTGCTAGCTGCTTTCTGTGTGCGTCACGAACCGTGTTGAATATCTGCAGGCCGTCGTGCCCGCCCGTGACGTACACCCGGCCCTCAAAGAACGCCACGCCCGTCGCACTCCGTGGCGAGTTCATGGCTGTCACCATGGTCCACCTGAATGTGCGAGCACACAGGCGTTAACAGCCGAGCTGTGCGGGAGGGCATGCTCATCCTCACTCGCATGGGATGCACGTCTCTGGCTTTGAGACACATGCCACAGAGAAGGGCAAATTACAATAAATTTACAAATTAATGGAGTAATGTAGATGGATGTAAGTGATCAATTAACGGTCTTGTGAAATTTTGTTTCTTATTACCAATTACTTTGATCTGTGCACTTGAGATACCAATAAAACATAAAAGTAATGAAATTACCTATTTCAATTACATGTTATTCAGATACTACTCATATCTCTGTATTAACATGCCCGCTCTGGCCTCGATGCATGTTCATGGGCCAGCCATCGCACTTAGAAGCGCAAACAACGCGCAAGTACTTGCTTTTCTCCTGCTCTGAATACATGGATGCGTGTGTGTGCTCATCACGCACTTGTCAGCCTCGGAGGAGTAGCACTCCACGGAGCTGAGCGACGACACCCCATCGTAGCCCCCGCACACATAGATCTGCCCGTCCAGCACGGCCACTCCCATCGCGCTGGGAAGAGAAAGGGGGGAAGCATGACGATCGTTGGGGCAGCTTTCACCATTGTTTAAAAGTAATGTTTCGTAACACTAAAGGCTGTTCTTGTAAATACAGGAGACCCTTGAATATCTGGGGCGGTTATCATTCGGGGTTTCGACCTATCGCGGGCAACCACTTTGGATACCAATTTAGCTATCGCGGGGGTTAGTTTTGGCCTTTTGCGGGTATGCTGTAAATGGAAGTGGTGCACTGCAGGCTGGGTGAGAGACGTGAGACAGCCACCTCATTCTTTGCCATGCTAGCATCTCGCGGACAAAGACCACCCCCCCCCACCGTAGAGCCTATTAAAAGACTGTTGGGGCAAGTGCTGTTAGCAAGCGCCTATGAAGGCTGACACGGCATACAAGAGGGTGGATAACCAGCACCATGCCCGGCCGCCTTTGTCTCTCCAGTGGCGATGCTAACACATCACAACATGTATTCATTTAGGGCTGAGTCGTCCTAGGGGAGGCCCAGGATCAATTCAGATCGTCACTGGCGTTTAGCATGAGCGAGAAATTAACTTGGGTCACTGGGTTCGTAACGCAGCGTGCTAACCGTAGCACTACCGCTCCCTACTCGTAGACAAACACACACCCGTTTTGGATCATCATCAGTAAGTACAGTAATTGATTCAGTATTTATTGTCCAGGAATGTGTTTTGTATAGAGTATTTAAATTTTTTTATTTTGTTTTTAGTTTATTTGGCATACAGTACAGTTCTTATTTAAATTGTCATGTCTATTTTTGGTTTCCGTGTACCTAACCCCATTATTTAGGTAAGTATTGAATAACGCGGTTTTGGCCTTCGCAGCACTTTCCAAGAATGTAACCCCCCCCCCCCCCCCCGCGATATTCAAGGGTCTCTTGTATACCTCAATTACCTTGTGTCAATAAAGTAGAAACTGGATGTAAACACACTTTATATAATCACAATTCTGATAAAGAAACAGATCCTTTTATTATACTGGGGGGGGGGGGGGAAGGCCATATGTAATGTCTGATCTAAGCATACTACTTTGGATATAAGTACTTACTCCCAAGGGTGTGTTTATATGCAGTTTCCACTGTACTGTCGCACAAAGTAATCAATGTTGCTGCTAACAGCTATATAAATTGTGATCTCATAACTAGTATATGTAACAATAGAAAGGCCATAGTAGACACTGCTGAAAACGGAAAATTTTCATGCATTGTCTGTGGATAGTCTGCCACAACAAAAGATAGTGATCCCGAGTGATATTTAAACTGGCTGTTAGAGCGAGTGCTGTTAGCGAGCACCTATGAAGGTCAGCACAGTGCATGAGGGGGTTTGTGTCCAGCATCATGCCCAGCCGCCTTTGTCTCTCCGGTGCCAATGTTTACACAAAACACCAGATACTCTACTCGTTTGAGACCCAGTCGACCAAGGGGAGGCTCGGGACCAATTCTGATATTCGCCACCGATTACCGCTTCCCACAAAAACCATGGTCACCTGCGCTTGCTATTCATACTGGCGACCTTGGTCCAGATATTTCTGTCGGGATCGTACACCTCCACGCTGGACAGCCGCTCCTGCCCATCCGAGCCCCCCACCGCGTACAGCCGTCCGCCCAGCACGGCCACCCCCACACGACTACGCGGTGACCCCATTGGGCAGCATGCCTCCCAGCGGTTGGTCAGCGGGTCGTAAACCTCCACCATGGTCACCGCATCCCCTGAGCAAACACACGAGAGGGGGACTTCAAGGGATAAATTATAGCGACTGTTATGAAGTCTTCTTCTGTCGCACGGCTGATGTAGATGCAGAGCAACATCTAAAAAATTTCATTCAGGTGGTCAAGTCAGATAACCGTGTCAGGAGCAGCGGAGTGTGATGCACTCAACGTGCGTACGCGTGATGTCGGATTCAATGTGGTGTGAGTTGCAGCAATGCTTTATTCATTGCAATATTTTTCCAGAAAAATCCCTTGCGATGGAACATCTCATTTGCAAGAGTGTCCAGGGTGTCAAGTCACACATGTATACCAAAAACATACATAAAATATACAACTCATACAGTACACGTTTATACAAGGTCAAAAACATTTATATATGAACATCTCACTGCCGGTGCATATAGAATGTTTACATCATTAGACCTCCTTTGCTAGTACCAAAATGTAATAATAGGGTTTTTCCCCTTTTTTCTGGCAACAAAACTGAAACCTTTTTACAAGGATTCATGTCTGCATTAACCACAATACCTGCAGTCAAAATGCAAACAAAAAACATACTATAATAATATATGCATTGTCCTTGAAACTGATTGGTCCACACCAAGGGACGGCTTTCGCCAAAAGGCATCATGTGGTCGAGCACCAATTGGGTCGAGGCTCAAAAGAAAGCCGTCCCTTGGTGTGGACCAATCAGTTTCAAGGACAATGCATATATTATCATAGTATGTTTTTTGTTTGCATTTTGACTGCAGGTATTGTGGTTAATGCAGACATGAATCCTTGTAAAAAGGTTTCAGTTTTGTTGCCAGAAAAAAGGGGAAAAACCCTATTATTTCATACAGAATGTTCTTTAGAGTTGAGGTGCAGTCATATTTCTCTAGTCTTGAGATGGGATCGTATGTAGACCCCATCTGTAAGATTCACAGTGATACGAGACGTATACATGCACAGCTCTTTTGTTAATCCACTGCTGGATGAGGGCCTCTCCACACCATGTGGATCATGGAGGTTATTTTACCATGGTTCACTACAATGGTCCGTTTGGATTAGTTAAGGTGGGAGCGATGGATGTGGAAGCTTACAGCATAGAAGTGCAGTACAACAATGGATTTTTCTGCACTATATGCTGCCCAACCTGAGTATGCATGGTGGTCACCCACCCACGCCATATCCATGCTCGACTCTTAGCCTCCGCCCGCTGTTAAATCTACCGGCAGAGTTGAGGCCTCCGACAGCGTAAACGCGGCCAGCGAGGGAGGTGCAGCAGCGCGGCCGGGTCTTGTACGCCGGAAGAACTGGCCGCCGGTCCGGCATCAGGTGATAGTCCTTCGCTTCATCCAATAGGTCCCTAGAACATGTATATATAGGGCTTCATTTTAGTCAGGGTCAGATAACAAGGAAAGATTTCTGGAGCCCAACACACTACATCTAGCATACCTCTTGTTAAATAGATGTGGCTACTTGTCACATGCCTACTCCAGTCTAACAGCAACCCGGAAAAGATTCAGTAAGAAATTAAGCTGAAGCTACAGCAAGGTTCTTTGGCTTGTAAACCGAGTCTTTTTATTTGATTCCCTTTGTCTTGTGGCCTTTGGAGCATGGCTGTTAACTTGACCGATATCTCCTTGCAGTGGTCTTTCCACTTCTCTCCGTCCGTTCCTGCGATTTGCAAGTGAAGACAGATTTCAACCCATCCAAACTTTGGCATCCAATCACTGTGGTGTTATTTTTCACCTAACACCTTCATGTCACTACCCTTTGCAGTCAGTGACCATTCATCCTGGTCATGTATCTGAATATACTGTAGGTTCCTGTACTTAACCTGCCTAAGAACCCCCGATTCTCTGTCTAATCTTTTCCAGGATTATAATTGTTTGCCCTTCATGAGAAATTTAAAGAATTATCTGGATGGCTTTAATTTGAAAGGTATTGATTCTCCATGTTTATTATTAAAAAAAGGGATTTGAGGGCCAGTAAAGCGATAACACCCAGACCCACTGTTGTACTATAGTGCAATGTTGCCTGATTTAGCGAGCGCGGGGGGATGGGGGTGGAAGGTCACTGTACCTGCACTTGTGGCAGGCACGTATGAGCTCGTCCTGCTGCACACGGTCGGTCAGAAAGTGGGGGCGGCACAACGGGAGGCGCACGCATGTGAGCAGGTCCGGGAGTAGCGGCGCACGGCCCTCGCGGTCCCTCCGCACCCACGCCAACACCGCCTCGAACACCTGCACGCGCCAGCAGCAAACAACATGCACGACGCACAAACCCATGAACCACATACGCACACAGAGTCAATCACGCATCGGTGTGTGTGTATAAATACCTTTGATCAAATCACCTGGAATGCACCCCAACTCTGCAAATCTCCGAAGCTATAAGCAAGAGCCCAGTTAACTGACCAACATACATGCCTGGTTGTTATAGGTGGCTGTGTTGTGGACAGCAGTGTAGTATATCAATATCCATTGTTGCACTTTAATTGAATTCTCCCACACCTATGCTCCCTGTCTTCAACAACCTTCACTGACCGATAAGGAAAAGCATGGTCAAACACCCGCATGACTCCCATGGGACGGGTGGGCCTTCATCCAGAATTGGATTGGCAAAAGGCTCTTCTGAGAAACATGATGCGCATAAATAAGTTACACGCAAACACAAACCCACGACATGCACACGACATTAGCTCACGTAAACTACGACAGGTCAGATTGCACGGTTTCACCGTGGCAAGGTCTGCCGGACCGACACCCCGCCGTCGCCACCTCCCGCTCATCCTCTTTTCCCCTGCACACGGAACCATCAGGTACCGTGCGCGCGCACACCCCGCACCTGTTCCTCTCCCTCTACGTGCAGCTCGTCTCGCGCCGCCAGCTCCAGCAGCTCCTCCCCAGGGAGGCCCAGGAACTCCTCGCCCGAGGACGCCTCCACAAAGTGCTGCTGCAGGAACGAGTTGGCTGTGTCGTAGAGCGCAGGACACATCATGGCCTCCGCGAACGAGCGCACGCCCAGCACGTTCTTTGGGTGCAACCTGCAGCAGGAGATGGAGATGGCAGCAGTGAAATAAACAGCCAGTCCTCTGTCTCTACAAAGCGTAGAACCCTGTTGACCTTACTCCCTCTAAAAGCGACATTCAATCTGTACCACCCCGCTAAATTCCCTCAGTGTACTGGGATCTGCGTACTTGTGGCGCTCTCGCCATATGGCCATGCGTACAGCAATTTAAACTCAGTCATAACGTCCTCCACGACTCAGCTAGGAGATCATTAACAACTGAGAGCAATCTACCACCATATTGCTCTCACACACTTGCCAACCACCGCAGAGTCTGTGCCACACCGAACTCGCCCACACTGTGTCCCGGACCAGATCCCCATAGCATCCCCGTTCCTCAGCACCCCTCACCTCTCCTTTAGGAAGTGACAGCAAGCATCCTTTACGGCATGAAGTTGCAGGAAGGAGGCCGCCATCAGCAGGGCCTGCACATTGTGTTGGTCGATGGCCACACGCCCATTGTAAGCGAAGTTAATCAGGGCTTCGAGTGCACTGCAGTCCACACAATGGCACAGATTCAGCCCAGCTCGACCGATGTGCACTTATCCCACAAGTCGGTGTCAACCACTGCTCCTGCAATATATGCTCGTCGCACTCACCATCTTTAAGATCCTCCGTGGACTCACTCCTGCTGCTCTTCAGTAGTTTTGTTAATTATTTACTGCAATTACGTCTTGTGTACCTGATGACATTGTGTTATAAACAATATAAATTTTAAGGCTGCAATTACTAAAGACTTATGGCAAGCTTATGTTGACTGAACTGAAGTTGAAGAGCATTTAAGTAACCATTATTTGTACTTGCAGTAGAGCAAAGCACAAAAACGAAACGATACAGTTGTGACATTTGGTTACAATGTTATGAAATACTGATATGACAATCAGTGGAAATTAAATATTACATTATAACGTGAAAAATTATATCGTGGCAGCCCTAATGTCGACATGCTTAACGATTGCTTTAAAATTCTGATTGTAAACATGGGCTGTGTGTGGGGTAATATGATGGGGCACGTGAGCCCCCGCACCTGGGGTCCGTGCCCTGCATGACGATCTCTTCGCGCTTGCTTTCAGCCATGTCAGTGGTGAACATCGCATGGAAGTATGGGATGGAGGCAGCCAGAACCACGCGGTGAGCGCTGTACTTGTGCTCCCCAACCTGCAAGCGGCACAGGGCACAAGCAGTAGGTAAAGTTGCAGCCCTGCAATTTCTTGCTCATACCATTGCTGTTGAAAGGGCCTCCACGAGAGAAAGCTCTAGAGAGCTCATTTGGAGAGTGTTTTAGTATATTGCTCCACACTGGCCAGACGTCTCGATAGAGATGAGTGTACCCAAACGCTGCCCCACAAAACACGACCTGTGAACATACAAACTGTTGTGTATTGTTTTAAAACCACTTGGTTGAATGTTACAGAGAGTATTTGCATTTGAATTAGCTTCTCCCTGTGAAACATATGTTACATCTATGCGGGGTTGGAAGATTATAAATTACACTATAATGACTGAACTGCATAAAATGCTGCGAGTCATTCAAACTTTCCCTGAGCCAGTTTGTTCGTTCCATGACTGGAACCACTTGGCATATCTTTGATGCATCACATATGTTGTCTTAATAAAAGCTTACTAACTTTAAAATATTTAGTAACGTTCCAAGACAATGCCACATACATGTTATGTTGTATACATATACACCTCAATTATAGTAATATTTACGACCCTGCCTTGATATAAGGGTAGAATTTAAACATCTATGGTTTTAAACATTGTAGAATAAATACCTAGTCACACATACTGCTGTATTAAAGTGTGTATTTTACACTGAAGATGTATGTACAAGCATACAATATATGGATAGACTGGAAGACATGGGCTCTACATAATTATCAGTGTTCTGCAAGGTCTATTTTTGTAAAATAGTATCAGTTTCATTTGTATTTGTTCTTTTGAAGTCCAATTTCTCCAGCACATCTGCAGTTCTTTTAAAATAAATACTTTTTTATTCACCTAAAACCTTTTGCAAAAACAATCACATCTGGTCTACTGTGCAAGTCTTTTTTTTCTAATTCCAACATGGTTTAAAACTAACGCTTTCAAGTGAAAAAAACAACTCTTTACTATCAGTTTAACACGTAGGCTTTCGCGACCTATATTATTCATAATAAAGGTTTTTGGGTTAGATCGCTAAGTATAAATGTGTCGTAACCTTCCACCACCCGACACAGCCAGTAAGGTTTGTCATGTAAACGCGCCAATTAGTTACTACTTCAGCCCACTGGTGTGTTGGAGAGAAAATCCAGAATCGCCCGATGATGCTGGATGAAATTACCAGCGAAACTTCGTATTATAATTGTAAATGTGGATTTACTCTACAACACGCCGGTGGGCTGAAGTAGTAACTAATTGGCGAGTTGTTTACATAACAAACCTTATTGGCTGTGTCGGGTGGTGGAGGGTTACAACACATTTATAATTACCCGATCTAACCCAAAAACCTTTTATGAACTCCTTAATATACAAAAAACACTTGAATTCAGAAAAACAAATGCCACCACGTGATGGTTAAGCTACATAAGTGTGAACATATAGACATGATTTTACTAGAGAAAACGTAATTTATAATAGAATTATAGTAAAAAATGTGAATTGTCATTGATGTCAATGCCTGAAAAACCTTATAAGCTTAAAGAAACAACTCAAGTGGCAAGTGGAAGCACCTGCTAACGTCGTGCAAGCCCATCAATGCACTAGTTCTCTATCTCATAATTATTTTCACTGTCAGCTACCGTAAAAGTAATCTGCTTTCCATCACCCCTTCAGTTTGTTTATGCTATAAACAGAGGGTCATGATTCAGGGCATGTTTTTGGTTGCCATTCAGGGTTAAGAAGCTTAGCTGTAAAAATTTCCACAGTTTTTTCCATCTCAACAGCCAGTTCGCTACGGCGAGAGATGTCTTATTATGACCGCTGTTCAATCGGGTCCAAACCTAACCACACTGGCCACGAACTGGCTCTATGAGCACATAACTACTAAACATTCCCATCGCAGATTTTGAGTAGCTCTAATGGTGATCGCGAAACAGGTAGCGGTGTTGTATAGCCAGCATAAGTGGTTTGGTTGACCTGTTGTGAAAGATAAGAAACTTGAGCATTTGGATCAATATCAACACTAAAAGCAGATCAGTGTTTGCCTTATCCGCTGTAATTATTATTCGATAGCAATAAATTACTCGCATTAGGAGCTGGAATACTTGGTCTAATTGGTAAGGGAACAGGCATTACCGTTTTAAGACTGTAAAAATATGTGGGTGATAAGTGAGAAGTGTATATGTGAGTAAATGCATCCCATTAGACCCAGAAGACATCCAGCACACACGATGTTTTTTTGACAAAGGAGGGTTGCGGGATGAGGGTAAAATACTTGTGCAGTATTTCCAACCAATATCCTCTCTATTTGACCTTCTTCGTGCACCATTCAGTTGTTTCTCATCGCTAATCCACCCTCCCCTTCACGCGCCGTACTGAGTGGAATGACCCAACTAAACACTCTCATCACAAGTGGCATGGTACCAGAAAGTCACTGGCATCACTTGCGATGGACAGGCGCGGGCCTGACAAGAAACACTCCTCACCCCTCCAGTGTACACACACCCGCCTGAGAAAACCCTTAACTACAAAACACACAAGCACATTTCCTCTACCGTGAATGATGCACACACCTCAACCATTAAAACACCTCACCCTGGGTGACAATGATATGTCACCCCATGTGACACACCTAACTCAGCGTGATGTATACATCTGACCCACTATGACAGTGACACCCCTCACGACGTGTAGCAGTGACACACTGCACCATATGACTGATAATTTCCTCCCACACGAACAAAAGCGCGTATTAATGTAATGGGCCAAATATCCCATTGGAGGACCCTCCTGTGTCTTAATACTCAATGAGATGTTGCTGGTTAAACAGTGGACATTATGACTTATTAATACACACTTTGGGTGACATTGACACGAACCTCACCCCGTGTGCCACAGACACCTCGTCCCGGGCGCATCCCACCCGCGTGGCACATACACATACCTCAACCCCTTGGAGACATTAGTGGAAGGCGCCTTACAAATGAATGTAAAATATCTGAAACGCATACATACCTGACCCCGTAAGGGCACAGGCACACCTCATTTCGCGTAACACACACACACCCCACCCGTCACCCTGTGTGACACTCTTTAAACACCCGCACCACTCGCCCCGGCCACCTCACCCTGAGGGTGACGTCGCAAAGCTTCCCCTGCCGCCGGATCTCTTCCATGACGCCGAAGCCCTTGACAGCGAGGTCGTCCACGCTGAAGTGCACAATGTCGTCCTCGAAATCGTCGGCCATTGTGAACCTGCCCCGCGTTCTCGCCCGACCCCGCATGAAAGGGGCGTCCCGGGCACGAGGCTCGGCCTTTTCTGCGATTACAAAACAGCAAGCACACGACCGACTCGTCCACCTTTTAACCGCGGCCTCGTTCGCAGCGACGACAGCAGCAGCAGGGGTTGAATGAGCAGCGAGACGGCGACTCGAGTCGAGAGACAAGACACCCCGGCGGCGTCAAATGAACGCTGCGCGCCGCCTTTGCGAATCGCTGCAACAGCTGACAGCAGTGCCGCTGATGCAGCAGCTTCTGACGTCTTAAATGTTAATGCTGCTGTGTTGATGCGACAGCCGCTACTGCCTTTGCTGTATGTGGTGTAGCTGCTGTTGCAGCTATCTGCGCTGATGCTATATATCCGCCGCCGTTGCTATTGCTGCGACTATTTAATCTGCTGTTGCTCTTGCTGCTGTAATAGAAGCAGCTGTTATAGTCACCCTGATTGCCGTTGCCGCTGCAGCCGATAATTCTTATTGCTACTATTTAGCCGCTGATGTTGCCTTTAGCTGCTGCTGATTTCCCCACGGTTCTATTACTTTGGCCGTGACAGTAGTTGTGTTGTTGTTATTGTTTTTGTTTCCTGTTCCTTTTGACCGGGGCAGCGGCTCCACGCGCCGCTCAGCTGATCGCGGCCCGCGCGCGCGCGCGCGATACTCTTCCGGTCCCGCGTTTCGTGGCTTCCGGTAGGAAACGCGACGTTCGCGTCCCGCACCCAGGCATTTTGGTTCCGGTCTCGTGAGCTGCCCGCAACGTGGTTTCCCCCTTGCGCGCCCGGGCAGTCTCTTTAGACTGCGGCGTCAACGTTAGAAGGAACGGAGCCAGTGCCAGGGATAGGAGTTCAGTTAAGTGTTAGGAGTGGGGGTTATTGTAAGGAGCAAGGGTTAACCCACGGAAGCCTGACTCATTTTCTGACGTTCTCTCTGTTAAGTTGATCAGTCGATGTTTTGTTTCCCCAATTTAGTAGATTCCAAGTACATTTTTTCCTTCACATTTGGACCGTACGCCAGCACACGTGGCTAACTCTTTTTTTCGAATAACGTCACGGGATCTTTTCATCCTTTAATTTTACCCTAAGGCTAAAGGGAAAAAATCAAAAAGGTGAAATCTCATACCAGTACTTGGAATAAATTATGTTTGTATACACACGAGAACATCCATTCACCAAGGAGATGGAGCAATGGAATGAGCTCGTGTGTCCTGTGCTATGTGGCTCATTACGTCACATGATCATTAGAGGTGGCAGTGGATTGTGGACGCCTTTATCAAGCAGTGGATTGTTCACGGTGGATTATTATACACTTTAAACACGTATTAAAATGTATATTGCACATTAAACTATAAATTGCATGTTAGAACCACTCGATAGTGGTGCTTTTGTCGTGTTCTATGCAATTTTGTACGCAACATTACACCTCAATGGAACTAAAACGAAACTTTTTTTTATTTTACCAGTAAAGCCCACTTAGCTATATAGCTCTTTTTCGGAAGCAACCTGGCCACAAATGATAGTTCAACGATGTGGCTTATCATGTAGTCAGTTATAGCAGATACATACTCTAAATGTGGAAGGAAAAACGAGAGAAGCCGGAGGAAAATCCACACGGCGACGGGGAGAGAGACATCTGGCTCTGGAATCTTCTGACAAATAGTTATACTGTAAATCCCAGTGATTGAAATGTACTAACATTTATTTTTCAACGATGTACTCCCATATACACTGGCACTCGATTAAAAATATGGGGAAATAAGGTTTAAGCGGACTTAAAGTAAACAAAAACCGTAACATGTTCATCATAATATCAGGAAGGTTCCTAACGAGAGGGGGCCATTCGGTCCATTTATGTCCTTTGGGCAAGAAACTATAGACATACTGGAAGGCGCTAGAAGGCGCTAGAATGAATGTGAAGTAGGTACAGTATGTCATGTCCACTAGCCCAAGTTTCTTTGGTCTACCAGTAGGTGGGGCTATCCCAATTGAGTAGGTCATGGGGAGGTTTTATTTATTTATTTGGACCATGACGCCAGAACGCAATGGCTTGCTCATGCGAAAGACGCAGTATTATTTAGGGCAGTGTGGAACCGTGAACTTTTGCAACAAGCTGGCGAGCGCGCTACCGCTAGGCTAAGGTGAAATAGTTTTAGTGGGTGATGTAAATTGGAATTGTCTAATCCCGCCGGCTGTGGCCACAAATTTTGCAGATGAATTTAACCTATTTAAGTGAATAAATGCCCATACTCTTTGGTTCTATTGGGTAAAGTCACGTAGGTAAAAAATAAAATAACAAAAATCACAACGTTTCGGCCACAACACAAGCGGCCTTCATCAGGTGAAGGGACGAGACTGTCTGGAGGACAGCGCTAGAGTGAAAAAAAGCCACGCTCAGATCACGACCTTTAAGCTGTGTGAGAAGAAACAAAGCGCCTTGACAAAGGAATTAGCATATAATTTAGCATTGAAATGACTCATTGAAATAGCTACGTTAAAGTATACACATCCGCAGAGGCACCCCTTGACAAAGGAATTAGCATAGAATTTAGCATTGAAATAGCTGAGTGATTAGCTTGTAACTGGTCACAGAAATAGCTATGTTAAAGTCAGAGCATATACATTCACCGAGGCACCTAGTACAAATCAAACAGGAGAATTTAGCGAAACACAACCACGCTCAGACCGCGGACCTTTAAACTGTGTGCGAGCAAACAAGGTGTCCTGACAAAGAAATTAGCATAAAAATTAGCATTTGATTGGCCGATTTTAGAAAAGAGGTGGTGTACGTGCCGGTGGACTTGCCGTTTGGCGCGGGGGGGGGGGGGGGAGTTTACCTATTGATGGTGTGAAAAGGGAATTTATAAGAGCTGCGAAAGTTTGGGGTACCACTACTTGAAAAATATACTGTACCATTGAAATTAGTTTAATGTTTAGTTCGATTTAGAACATGATGCCTTGAAAAAAGGTGTCAGTTTTTGTGCCAGTTAAAAGGGTAAAACCTATTCCTATATCTTGTTTCTGGCAAAGGAGGTCTCATAATGTAAATGCTCACCCCGAGCCCTCAATACTCTGATAGTGCGCTGTTTTTGAGTTGTACGCCTTTTGGCGTCTTCTGGTCCAACACCAATGGAGACTAGGCTCTAAGAAAAGCTGTCTCGGGTGTGGACCAATCAAATTCAAGGACAGTGCATATTATTATCAGAGTTGTCCTTTTTTGTTTGCATTTTGACTGCTTGTGTTGTGGTTATTGCAAACATGATGCCTTGAATAAAGGTGTCAGTTTTTGTGCCAGTTAAAAGGGTAAAACCTATTCCTATATCTTGTTTCTGGCAAAGGAGGTCTCATAATGTAAATGCTCACCCCGAGCCCTCAATACTCTGATAGTGCGCTGTTTTTGAGTTGTACGCCTTTTGGCGTCTTCTGGTCCAACACCAATGGAGACTAGGCTCTAAGAAAAGCTGTCTCGGGTGTGGACCAATCAAATTCAAGGACAGTGCATTATATTATCAGAGTTGTCTTTTTTTGTTTGCATTTTGACTGCTTGTGTTGTGGTTATTGCAAACATGATGCCTTGAATAAAGGTGTCAGTTTTTGTGCCAGTTAAATGGGTAAAACCTATTCCTATATCTTGTTTCTGGCAAAGGAGGTCTCATAATGTAAATGCTCACCCGAGCCCTCAATACTCTGATAGTGCGCTGTTTTTGAGTTGTACGCCTTTTGGCGTCTTCTGGTCCAACACCAATGGAGACTAGGCTCTAAGAAAAGCTGTCTCGGGTGTGGACCAATCAAATTCAAGGACAGTGCATATTATTATCAGAGTTGTCTTTTTTGTTTGCATTTTGACTGCTTGTGTTGTGGTTATTGCAAACATGATGCCTTGAATAAAGGTGTCAGTTTTTGTGCCAGTTAAAAGGGTAAAACCTATTCCTATATCTTTCCAATGGTTGCTTAATTTGAAACCATCTTCTCGGTTGAAATTGTGTCTGTGTTTGTAGATCTGAATTGCCTCGTGAACAAATCTCTGATAAAAACCCGTGGGTTTGCAAAGAACCTTGGTATCGGAGAAAATTATATCGTGATCACCCACAGCGTTGTAAAAGTGATCAGCCACGGCAGAAGAATTCGTTTTGCCGTGTTTCAAATCTGATTTGTGCTCGCGAATTCGGTCATCCGCCAAGCTGTTTCTCCCTCCATACAGAAACAACCACTTGATACTCCGGTCAAAACCATCACACTACCATATATAGCAGGCGTTACTAAAAAGACTTCCAAAATTCTAAACAAACACAACATCCAGGTCCGGTTCAATACAGTACACAAAATTCGTGATCTGATCCCATCCGTGAAAGATGTCATTCCTGACTTACAGTACCCCGGGGTTTACAAATTGAGTTGTACCTGCGGTGATTGCTATATCGGGGAGACAAAGCGACATGTCTCTGACCGAATTCGCGAGCACAAATCAGATTTGAAACACGGCAAAACGAATTCTTCTGCCGTGGCTGATCACTGTTACAATGCTGTGGGTTATCACCATATAATTTTCTCCGATACCAAGGTTCTTTGCAAACCCATGGGTTTTTATCAGAGATTTGTTCACGAGGCAATTCAGATCTACAAACACAGACACAATTTCAACCGAGTAGATGGTTTCAAATTAAGCAACCATTGGAAATATGTTCTTAATCGAACTAAACATTAAACTAATTTCAATGATACAGTATATTTTTCAAGTAGTGGTATCCCAAACTTTCGCAGCTCTTATAAATTCCCTTTTCACACCATCAATAGGTAAACTCCCCCCCCCCCCCCCCCCCCCCCGCGCCAAACGGCAAGTCCACCGGCACGTACACCACCTCTTTTCTAAAATCGGCCAATCAAATGCTCATTTTTATGCTAATTTATTTGTCAGGACACCTTGTTTGCTCGCACACAGTTTAAAGGTCCGCAGTCTGAGCGTGGTTGTGTTTCGCTAAATTCTCCTGTTTGATTTGTACTAGGTGCCTCGGTGAATGTATATGCTCTGACTTTAACATAGCTATTTCTGTGACCAGTTACAAGCTAATCACTCAGCTATTTCAATGCTAAATTCTATGCTAATTCCTTTGTCAAGGGGTGCCTCTGCGGATGTGTATACTTTAACTTAGCTATTTCAAAGAGCCATTTCAATGCTAAATTATATGCTAATTCCTTTGTCAAGGCGCTTTGTTTCTTCTCACACAGCTTAAAGGTCGTGATCTGAGCGTGGCTTTTTTCACTCCAGCACTGTCCTCCAGACAATCTCGTCCCTTCACCTGATGAAGGCCGCTTGTGTTGTGGCCGAAACGTCGTGATTTTTGTTATTTTATTTTTTACCTACGTGACTTTACCCAATAGAACCAAAGAGTATGGATCCTAGCAGTCACGAAAGCTTTAAATCTAGAAATGAATAAATATCCCCACAAGACCCAACATAAAAAATCCGGGACAGTCATCTCTGCTTGACATCCTATTGACAAATGCCCCTCACAATTTCGCACTGACTGGTGTTCTGGGTAATAATCTTAGTGATCACTCCTTCATATTTGGGGTGAGATCATCAGCCAGACCCAAAGCCCCCCCTAAATTGGTTGAGAAGCACTCCATGAGACACTTCAGCATTCAGGCATTTACAAATGATGTGCTTCACTCGGATATTGACAAGGTCTGTGATATCCCCAACCTG